GAGTTACACCGTGCACAACTGCGCATTTCCCGTGCAGAGAATGGTCTCTGATTTTATATGGTTTTTCCCTCTTCTAATCAGAATTGCCACTCCTCCTGCATATAACTGATTCCGGTCCTGCCGGTAGACGGAGAACGACTCCTGGACTGTCTGTGGTATATGGTCTGTATTATACGGCCATGTTTCGGTGATTGCCACTACAGACGCCTTCTGTTCGAAGGCTATCTGAAACAGTTCTGACCATTTATTCCTAAGGCTTCATGCGTTGGTGTACAGCATGAACATTCTGTCCTCCGTTCCTATGCGTTTTCCATAGATGCTTCTTGCTTGGGCCTCGGGCGCAGCACCCGAGGAGACAGCAAGTTTTTCCCCGGTATTTGTAGCCTGAGGGTCTCTTTGGTTAGCCACCTCAGCTGGTAGTTCTTTGCTTTATCTTATTGAAGCCTCTCTGTCTGCGCTTTCTTCTTACAGGCAACTTTGCCACTGCTTGTCTTCTGTGACATCCTCAATGACCACGAATCCCGGTGATACCCAATGTAAGCGTGCTATGCGATTTCCGAAAGATATCCTTTGAGTTTCGGCCTGGTCGTTTAGTTTGCCAGGATTCATACCCAATTCTCGAGCACTTAAGCATTCTGTGCAACTCCCGCTGGGTCTGTCTGGTGCGATCTTATTTCGGACTCTTGTCCGTTAGGCCACTAACACAGATCGGGCCAGCAGTAGATCCCTAAATTATTCTGCAACGAAATCCACTAGAATTGGTCGCGCAGGCGAACCCTTTCTATTGGAATTCTGGGCTTTATATTTCCCCACTCGATGGACCCTCTTAATACCTCCAGGATGCAAGATACCTGCTAGACGCAAGATGTCCAACACCCTTCTACGGTCCAACTCTCTCCGGGTTTTGGCCTCCCTTATATAAGGCTCCACCAGGTTAGTTCCCGGTGACTGGTTCCCGAATCTTTATTCTGCTTCTTTGTTCGAGGTCTCTTAACCGGTTGCTGCACCTTCCCAGCTACCTTCAACCCTATTCCGCTGACGACTTGTCAAACATGGGCAGAGGAAATCGCCGCCCAGAAATTGCTGGGACGTCCCGATAACACTTTTTCCGCTGGGGTACTGGCAACCTCTGCGTATGACCGACGCGCTGCGGCCGCGGGTAGCGATTTTGTTCTCTAATGTTCAGGGATGTTCTCTCTGTATGGTGTTTCTACCTTACGTGACTCACGTTGGAACGCAAGCCGTGCCGCTTCCAAAGAGCGTACACATACCCACTCAGCCCACTTACTCTGGAAATACAGTGAATACACTTTGTACGGATACCGGAGCACTTTGGAAGGGCCCATCTCTTACACACATCGCACTCAATTTCCTTAACTACGCCTTTACCTCATTCTTTATTGAGACACGGATAGGATACTCGTGGCATAATTCGACCAAAAAAGACTACAACTCTGATGTACTAAAACTGCGTAAAACGGTATTTGACTGCAACAACGATAAAGTTAGCCAAACCGCTTGGCACTCACGTCAAAGTGTTCTTCTTCAAGTTTCCTGACAGATCCTTTCAAGCATGTCGTGATCATCGAATCACGTAACAGAAGCCCTTTCACTCTACACTGGTGATTAGCAACACGATGAGTTTGGTTTCCAAACCTTCATGCGTAAGTGAGGATTATTAAGACATAATTGCATTGTAGTGACCATGATTGTGTGAAGAAAAGGAGCAATACACGAGGACGTTTTCTTTTCCTACTTTCTTCACAATCAACTCTGACTCGAACTGTGATATTTCTTTATTTTACTTCTGCTTGTTTTACTGAGCACGGTTTTCCGCTCAGGTGTATATATAAGCTGGGTCCTGTTCAAACCCACACAACACGTGTGACACGCTTTCACTCTGCTACTGCATGTATTGCTTGCATTGTTTAGCGTCACCTTGGCACGTTTCCGTACTATCTAGTACCCCGATTCGCCAATATACGTCTACGACACCCACGAGTGTTTCTGTCTACCACGGGCAACGAGACACTGATAAATGGCAGGGAAAATTCAGGTGGATAAACTAGCCTGCTATTCCAGAGCGAGCAAGCACTTCGAACGCGGAGGTTGCTGGAATCTTTGTGGAAGGTCTATGGCACCAAAATGAAGAAAACCTGGAGGAACTGACGGGAGAATTCGCCCCACTGAGGAGGATAGGAAGTTGGGGACAGCCATCCATGGTGGAGGAAAGAATTCGATATAGCCCACGCCGAGAAGCATATGCCTTGGAAACTGTTTCAGGCTAATCAGGGGCACAGGCGATACTTGGCTTACAGGAAAGCCCGTGATGATGCTGCCAGGCCGCAAAAACATCAAAGAACTGGGTATGAAGTAGCGCTTGCAAGAAGTGTCAAAGCATGTCCTAAAGCTTACTTCAACTACGTGCAGTCTAAGGGCAAGCTCAGAGAGTCAGAAGGTAGTATTGAACTCTCCCCGGGCACATTGGCCATAACCGCTGGCGAAAAGGCCGAGGGCCTACTAAGCTACTACTACACCAACCGGACACTGCCCCCACGCCTTGTACAGGAAATGCCTCAACTGTATATCACCAGTGTTGAGGTAACCGTAGAACCCATAAACCTCAACAAACACAGAGCGGCTTGTCCAGACGGGCTACACCCAGCGATCATCCAACCCCTGGCGGACATCCTGGCACCACCTGTTGCGGTACTCTTTAACCTCAGCCTTAATCAGGCTGTTATTCCAAACGAATGGAAAATGGCCGAGGTTATGCCAGTTTTTAAAGCCGGAAGATGGGAGATATCCGGAAATTACCGACCGGTAAGTCTCCTGTGCATCTTACTAAAGGTGATGGAGGAGAGTATAAGAAATTCCATTCTGAGCCACCTAACCCAGCATCGCCTAGTAGCACCGCAGCAGCACATGTTCGTCAAAGGCAAACCTCACCTGACGAACTTTCTGTCCTTCCTTGACGAAGTAACTGTTAGATTATACCGCGGTGACCCTGTTGAAGTCTGCCATTTGGATTACCAGAAGGCTTTTGACTCGGTCAACGATATGCTGCACTTACTTAAGTTAAGGAACCTGCGAGTTGCTCCCAGGGTGACAGACTGGATAGGAGAATACCTAAGTGGATGAAACTTCTACGTGAAAGTAGAAGAGTCCAGATCTACCTCCGCCTTAGCCTGCAGTGGGGTACCACATTGATCGGTACTTGGGCCTTTGCTGTTCGTAATCTTTGTTAACGATCTAGCTCAAAGGCAACAGTCGCCGTGCTTCCTATTTGCTGATGATTCTAAAATTGTAGGTAGGCCAACCGGGGATGTCATACAGCAGGACTTAGACACCCTCTATCACTGGTCCGTGGTCTGGGGCCTACCACTAAACGCCGGCAAGTGCAGGCACTTAGTGTCTGACGGTTCCCCTGTAGTATGCTACCTTAACCCTGATAACCCCCTGGTAATTCAGCACACAGAGACGGTGAAGGACCTAGGGGTGCGTATGCACCAGTCCCTTAAGCCGTCACCACAATGTACTGAGGCTACTGGGAAGGCTCGAAGGGTATTGTTCCAGTTGCGATGCACCGTTGTATCCAGGGGCCCAGTAGTCCTGGTTCCACTGTACAAGGCGTTCGTCCCCACTTAGAGTATGGGGTCCAGGTATGGACACCAACTAAAGTTGGAGACATGAACACGCTTGAAAGGATACGAAGGAGATTCACGAAATTTCTCCCGCGTCTCGAAGGGTTGACATACACACAGAGGCTGGAGAGGCTAGGACTCTTCTCCCTGAAAAGGAGGTTGAGGAGGGATTTTATAGAGACCTTCAAGCCTCTGAAAGGAATCACCAGCACGGGAGCCCCCCTACTCAGCACAGACAACAACCCTTCCCTTAGGAGTAACGGATTAAAATTGAGCAAACCCAGAGCTCTGAAGAGCATAAGAGCGAACTTCTTCTCCCATAGGGTGATAAACGCGTGGAACAGACTGCCAGAGGAGATAGTCTCAGCCCAGACTGTAGTGTAGATCAAGGCCAGACTGGACAAGAGCTGGGCTGCCATGTTCCCCGACCTTATCTGATTCTGGGACCTTGCTTCCTTGCTTCATCCCTCCCTTACGCGCCACCTTCTTTTCTAGAGGCTTCCTTACTTCCTTCATTTTTATCACTATTCGTATTATTATCGTACCAAAACTTCACCCTTGGCCTTCCGCTTCCCATATTCTTTTTTTACTCTGTTGTTTTTCGATCTAAGGGCTTGCCTGGCAGTGCCTAACAGCGCTTGATGTAGGCAATTTGTCCGTTTCTAACCGTGAGTCGGCTGCTCATTCCAGATGTGATCCCGGTATTGTACTCTGCAATCCGCGGACCAGCAAACCACCCTTGATGAACCAAATACTAAAATACCGGACGGTTGAAGCACGCGAGGAAATTCACGCCCACTGGAGCAAGAAACTGGACTCTCGTTGACTCAAACCGCAAGTCCTGGAACCTGATCTTATCTTATCTGAGCTTCCAATGCTGCGCACAGTTGGTTTCATATTCGTGATCCTCTAAATTTAGCCCCGTTTCCAGAACGTTCTCTCTGGGGGTACGCTAAAAGGGTGGAAAACAAGCAAGGATATCCCCTCGCCTCATTGATTAAAGACCTGAGAGAGCAGACGTTTTTTTACCGGTGATGTGAGTATTCTGGTTGTTCGGTTTACGATTCGGGGGTCCGCTGCGTGGTAGGTTCGAGCGATTGCTGGCCTCAGTCGGTTGTAGAGCAGGCGACTTACGTCATCACCTTTTCAGGTTCAATCCATGTTCACTAATTTACCAGTTCGTGAAGTCTTACAAATTATCTGCGATCATGTAGAGAAAGAGAATATTCGACTGTGTCTACCGGTGTCCGTCCTTGAGCGTCTACTTCTGCTTTTTTCAAGGGAATGCAAACAGGCAAATCGATGGTGTTGCTATGGGCAGCCCACTAGGCCCAGTCCTAGCAGACTTGTTCATGGCACATCTGGAAGAAAAAGGAACTAATATTCTGGGGCGCGCTACCCTATACAAAAGATACATCGACGACACTCTGGTTATAACAGAAAACTTAGAAGAAGCTACGAAAATTATGAATGAACTCAACAGACTTCATCCAAATATAAACTTTACAATGAAATATGAATATAACAACACACTTAAATTCCTTGACATTACTATGACCAGAAGATAAAACGGAACGATTGCTTGATCCGTTTATCGAAAGGAAACGTGGACAGGCCAATACTTACACTTCGAGAGCTTTCTGCCCCTGGAGTATAAACGTAGTCTTTTTCGGACCTTATCTGACAGAACGAGGCGAACCTGCACGGAAGACAGAATTAAACGAGAGCTGCAAAACCTCGGGGAACTTTTAGCCAAAAACGATTACACCGAAGCGTTTGTTATTATGCATACCAAACCGAAAATTGCGAAAGAATCGTTTACGTCAGTTCCCAAATAGTGGGTCACATTACACCTGCAATTCAAAGGTGATAACGTACTCTACTCTACAAACGACTGAGGTCAGCAATCGCTCAAACCTACCACGCAGCAGACCCCTAAATCATATACCGAACAACCAGAACACCCACACCACCGGTAAAAGAACGTCTGCTCTGTACGCCAACTCTAATCTAATCTACTAATTCCGATGTGGTTGAGGAGCAACCTATGTGAGCCGAACAGAGCGACACTTATACAATCGGGTGGTGGAATATATTCCGAATTGGGTGCAAAATCAGCTGACCCAATTGAGGTCAAGTCCGCTGCATAGAAACGGCGGTCGAAGCTGCAAGATCCTGTCCTCAGCAATTACTCGACATCTGCCGATGACGCAACACCAAGTCGACCGAGGCACAGCGTTTCGAATTGTCTATAAGTCACAAGTCGCAAGATTGCTAAGGTTTACCGTAGCGATTGCGATTAATCGATGGAAGCCCCCTCTGTGTCAGCAAAAGGAACTTTATGTTAGTCTCTCCCTGCACCGATGATTCTGGTGATACCCCTCCCTCTTTTATGTTTTATCTGTTTTTTATATATTTTGTTTTACTTTGTTGCCATGCTCAAGCCCTATATGAACAATGTATTTTCCGCAGTATGCACCATGTTGAGATGCAGCAAAATCGTCTCGGACATAAATCGTGCAGTATTGTATGTGGTCTATGCTGTTAAAATTAATCTTGGAAAAGGCCTGTTTCAGTTTTAGTATTTAATTTATCATTCCAATAATTTATTTGGTTCATTTTTCGTATTACAATAAAATCAATTATGTACAGTCCTGACGGGACTCAAAAAGACTCATACAAGACGGTCAACCCTCCCGCTGTTAGTACACGGAACACATCTGTACTTGAGGTCTTTAATCAATGAGGCGAGGGGATATCCTTGCTTGTTTTCCACCCTTTTAGCGTAC